CATAATGTGCCCCAGGGTCACCCATTTTGAATAGTATTGCATGAGTTCCTTGTTTTTCAATGCAGCGTAATATTCCATTGTGTGAATATGCCACAGCTTATCTATCCATTCATTTGTTGATGGTTGTTATTTCATTTCTATTTCTCATTTCATAAACCTGCATTGTGTGAGAGTTCAAGGGGCCCTACTGACACAGGGTGAAGGAGACAGCGGCTCACCAACAAGTTGGCAGTTCAAACCCGCCAGCCCCATGGCAGGAGAAAGACATATCAGTTGGCTTCTGTAGAAGAGTTACAGCCTTGCAAATCCTGTCAGTGATTCTCTTGTCCTGTAGGGTCACCTTGAGTCAGTCAGCATAGTGACAGTTTTAATAGATATGAATATGCTATGATTTGTTAACTGAGTTGTATTTATGACACTGCCGTTAGCCAAAGTAAAGGAGGGAGTATGAACCCCTCCTTACTACCCATTCAACTAAAGTCCTTATTGGTTTTCAGTAGGAGACAGCAATCTAAACCTGCTGGATTCAAAGCACGCTGATTGCTCATCTTACACATTTCAGATTGAGGTCATGGGATTGCACCCACTGGGGTGAAGGCCTTGTGTGCACTGTGTGTTCTCTAATGTCTCAGCAACAGCTCGAACTCATCACCATGGTTATTTGTATAGCTAGTTATGCATGTTGTTAGACCAATTATGGCCTCAGTAACATACAGTCAGAAATGTCTAAAACAACTTCCTGTCCTCAGGCAAAATTTTTTCTTTTAAATTTTATATTGGTTTGCATACAAAATGCATGTACATGTTTCCCTGATATACATTGTGTTTCCTTGATATACATTGTGTTTCATTGCTGTACATAGTGTTTCACATATTCCTTTACTCACATTGTGTTTCATACTGTCATTCCCATACATTTGTGTTTTATAAGATTAATCACCATTGATCCATACCCCACCTTTTCTGCATCTTTCCTAATCCCTTCACCCCCCCCCCGTCCACCAAACTCGGTGACCTCATTATTTCCCACCCTCCCCACCCTCAGGTCCCCTCTTCCCGCCCTTCCCCCTTTGGACTTTTGTACACATCTGACTAGTAATGCAGCTGTTTTTACAGTTTTACGCAGTATTCCCATCAATTTTGAGCTAGTGTAAAGGAAGGAGCATGAGATCAAAAGGAAAGCAATAAAAATCATGTCATAACATCAGACACGTACACCGTGCTCACTCGGCACTTGGTTCAAATCCCTTTTTGTGCTTTGACTTATTGCATCCTTGTAATGAGGACAATAGTGGTGACTCAGTGGTAGAATTTTCCCCTACCTTGTGGGTGTTCTGGGTTCTACTCCCAGCCGGGGCACCTCATGATGTCTATCAGTGGAGGCTTGTATACGGCTGTGAGGCTGAATAGGTTGTGGTGGGGCTTCCAGATTAAGACAGATCAGGAAGAAAGGCCTGAAAATCTACTTCTGAAAATTGGTCAGTGGATCACAGTCATCTGATCATGTTGGGCATGGGTTTGTCATGATTTGGCAACTGACTTAACAGAAACTGAACAACACAACAGCAGGAGCCCTGGGCGGGGCATAGTCCTCGAGGAATGCGCTGCTGAGCCAAAGGCAACATCTGTGCCCGTTCAGCTCCGCAAGCCACTCCTCAGGGGAGGGTGAGCATTCTCCTCCTGCACCATTTACAGCCTCTGGAAACCCACTGGAGATCAGCTGTGGGTTGATTCAGACTGCAGCAATGGTGAAAGTGAAACCAACAGCTGCAGCCCTTACAGTAGCCCTAGAGGTAGATACTGTTACTACTCCTAACTTAACAAAACCCACTGTAATCCAGTCAGTTCTGACACATAGCAGTTCTCCATCAGATTTTACAGGAGGAAAATACTCATCATTCTCTCGTGGAGCAACTGGTGAATTCAAACCACTGACCCCTTTTAGATGGTGGATAGCGTTTAATGCACTGTGCCCCAAACCTCCTTTTCTTTTAAAGAGGACTTTAAACCAGCAAAACATTAAGGAACATGCCTAGGGTCTTTTGCTCATAAATAACAGAAGAAGTTCAAGTCCATGGTCCAAATCAATCTAGGATCAAATTCTTGACTATGCTTTTAACCCCTGCACTAAACCGCCTCTTTCCTAGTTATGGATTCAAGCTTTGGCTCTTCTAGTCATGTGTCTGAAATTTACAAGTCACTTAGCACTGCTGAGCCTTAGTTTTTCCCTCTGTAAAATGGAATTTCTTGGCAAAATTGATCTGAAGTTGGAAGTAATAGGTGACTGACTGACACATATTGATAGATAGAAATGTTCATATTGGTTAGCTTGTTTTCTTACTGAGAAGTTTCCCTGCTGTCTACAGTATTTTTTCATGTAATGTGGGAAAACCTTACATACCATAAACGTATTGAAGATACTTATATACTTAAATACTTACAAGTGTCTTTATGTACTTGATACTTACATACAATCTTGTATACAGACATGTATCATTGAACATCCGTGATGACGTTCTGTAAAATAGGAATTTATGCCATTTAGATGTGTGACTACTGTACTATGTACCAGCAAGAACAGTTCATTACCATTAAGTTGGAAAAGATTCATAGCTAATCCTCAGTAGGTTTTCAGAGGCTGTAAATCACACAGGAGAAGATTGCCCTTTTTTCTCCCTTAGAGCCACTGGTAGATTTGAACCACATACCTTTGGGTTGGCAGCACAACTCTTTACTCACCAGACCACCAGAAGCCCATGGCAATTCTTGGATTAAGCTCTGTTCTTAAACCTGCCTGTAAGTCTTATTTATTGTTAACAGTTTGATGTGATTCTTATCCAATGTCAGTTAATTAGATGTTTGTTTGTGTATGGTGTATACTGTATTTTTCTGTGCATGAAAAAGACTTCCAGAGACACCAAAACCTCCTTGTTATTATGTGCAGATGAGTCACTTGCAACTCATAGTGACCCTATCTACAACAGCCCTGAGATTTGCTCTATCTTGTGCCAATTTTACTGTCTATGACACACCTGTCCTCATTATCCCTGTCACTGAATCAATCCATATTGTTGAGGGTCTTCCTCTCTTTCTCTGTCCCTCCACCCTTCCAATCATGATGTCCCTCTCCAAGGACTTGTCCCTTCTTGCAACATGTCCAAAGTGTGTCAGATGAAACCTCAGAATCCTTGTATCCAAGGAGCAGCCTGCTTTCACCCTCTCTAGGATGAACCTGTTTGTTCTCCTGGCAGTCCATGGTATATTCAATACTCTTCTCCAGCACCACAGCTCAAAGGCATCAATTCTCTTTCTATCATCCCTAGTCCTTAGCATAATAATAATATAGT